ACTTTAATGTCATGGTAGGCATTATTCGTGACGTTATCAAGTGCCATTCGTACGATAACTCGTTGTAGAACAATTTGATCCGCCCTTGCGGAGACTCGAACCACCAACCTCCCACACCATAAACCTTATACACCACACTCTTCCCACTATACCTCCATAGCACCACATGATTATATATGCAACATATATTATTTATATAGTACATGCATCCATATTAATATAAAAGTATATGTATAAACATAATTATTTTATTGAACATAATTTATTTAAAATAAACTATTTACTAGCAAAATAAAAAAAGACCACTTTTGGCAACTAAAAATATTTTTTTTTTTTAGTCGCCAATTGGCTACTAATTGTTTTTTAGTTGCTAAAAAACTTAACTTTTGCTGACCAAAATCGGATTTAGTTGCCGAAGATGCACTTTCAGCTACCAAAATTTTGGACCCCAAAAAATTTAATTCTCGCATTAGGATTTTAGTTCTCCCGCGCTAAAATGACCATTTTTGGTGACTAAACTTATTTTTTAGTCGCCAATTGTAGACTTTTGACTACTGAAATTTTTTTAGTCACCAAAAAGCTTTACTTTTGGCTACTAAAATTTTTTTAGTCGGTAAAACCCATATAATCAGCAACCAAACTTATTTTTAGTCGCTAATTGCAGACTTTTGGCTACTAAATTTTTTAGTCGCCAAAAAGCTTTACTTTATTAAGTTTAATTTTTTCTTGTAGTGTATATTGAGTTTTATTTATTTATTTTTAATCATTTACTGCATTTTAAAAATTTAAGAAATATATTGACATTTTTTATTTTTTCAAAAATGCCATTATAAGCTTGGAAAGTTTTTGGCTTAGTAGCATTTCTCAAAATGCTATAAAATATTTGTTTATGACACTTTTCACCTAAGTGCCATAAAAAGTAATTTGCACCTACCTAGTGTCCTGACATTTTTTAAAAAATGTCATTGCTACTAAAGTTTAGTGGCATCTGTTGATAAATGTCACGAACATAATTTTTTGTGTCATTATTTTATAAAATGCCATAAAATTGATGTGACATTCCTTTATTGAAATGCCACTAGAGCCTTATATGTTTGTGGTTCTGTGGCATTTTTCTAAAACATTTAATGCCGATTTTTATTTTTGTGGCATTTTCTAAAAACATGCCACTAGTGTAGTGTCACTAAAGTGTAAATTTGTTGTAGTGACATTTTTGTTGTAGTGAAGTGACACTTTTTTTAATTGAAATGCCACTGGAGCCTTGTATGTTTGTGGCTCTACGACATTTTTCTAAAAAATGCCACCAAATATTCTTTTTGTGACATTTTTTAAGAGCATGCCACTAGTATGGTGTCACTAAAATGTGTTTTTGTTGTAGTGTATATTTGTTTATAATAATTGTCTGTCACCGAATAATAAAATCATAAAAGCCCGATGGTTGTATTTCCTTTTATTAAATAGTGGGATAATTAATGACGTTAATTATTTATTTAATTATTTCCTTACTTTCATTTCACCTCTGCATGTGCCACGTAATTTGTTAAAATGAGAATTAATTAGTAAGTTGTGATTCTAGCTTGTAAGTTGCGATTCTAGTCCTAAGCACTCGGGGTTGGGTCGTGACAAAAGTGGTATTAAAACAAAATTATATATATCTGGACTTGGACCATTAATCAAAAAGCAGCCTAATCCACAATGCAGGCTTGATAAGGAGACATTAGGTTGGCATTGTTTAATATGAAACCCTACACATGGCCTAAGAGGTGAGCAACACCACATGGCATCCTTCCTAGATAATAAGGTCCTAGACAGACCCAACAAGGTGAAGTACAAACACACAAAAGGTATTCCAAACTTGACTTAAGATCAATTAGTAAGAGTCTCACCTGAACATCGTCCCAAAAACTTAAAATTAGGTCCTCCTAGCACTACAAGAAAATGCACTTTTAGCGACTAAAGTTTTAGTCGCCAAAAATAAGGTTTTTAGTCGCCGAAGCCTTTTCCCGACTAAATATTTTGGTCGCTAGATTTGTCGCGGAAAAACGGTCGGGGAAGGTTACGGCGACTAAATTTTTTTTAGTCGCCAAAAGTCCTATAAATGGCAACTAATACTTTTAGTCGCCAAAAATAATATTTTAGTCGCCAAAAATTTTATTTTCCGCTACTAAAACTTTGGTCGCCAAAACTTGCAGTATCTACGGCGACCAAAGTTTTAGTCGCCAAAGGGTATTTTTTCCATCTTATTTTATTATTATTATTTTTTTAGCTACTAAATTCTTAGTCGCCTAAAGTCTTTTTTTATTTCAGCTACTAAATATTTAGTAGCCAAAAGTTTTTCTCTATTTTATTTTTATTTTTAGCTACTAAATATTTAGTAGCCAAAAGTTTTTCTCCATTTTATTTTTATTTTTAGCTACTAAATATTTAGTAGCCAAAAGTTTTTCTCCATTTTATTTTTATTTTTAGCTACTAAATATTTAGTAGCCAAAAGTTTTTCTCCATTTTATTTTTATTTTTAGCTACTAAATATTTAGTAGCCAAAAGTTTTTCTCCATTTTATTTTTATTTTTAGCTACTAAATATTTAGTAGCCAAAAGTTTTTCTCCATTTTATTTTTATTTTTAGCTACTAAATATTTAGTAGCCAAAAGTTTTTCTCCATTTTATTTTTATTTTTAGCTACTAAATATTTAGTAGCCAAAAGTTTTTCTCCATTTTATTTTTATTTTTAGCTACTAAATATTTAGTAGCCAAAAGTTTTTCTCCATTTTATTTTTATTTTTAGCTACTAAATATTTAGTAGCCAAAAGTTTTTCTCCATTTTATTTTTATTTTTAGCTACTAAATATTTAGTAGCCAAAAGTTTTTCTCCATTTTATTTTTATTTTTAGCTACTAAATATTTAGTAGCCAAAAGTTTTTCTCCATTTTATTTTTATTTTTAGCTACTAAATATTTAGTAGCCAAAAGTTTTTCTCCATTTTATTTTTATTTTTAGCTACTAAATATTTAGTAGCCAAAAGTTTTTCTCCATTTTATTTTTATTTTTAGCTACTAAATATTTAGTAGCCAAAAGTTTTTCTCCATTTTATTTTTATTTTTAGCTACTAAATATTTAGTAGCCAAAAGTTTTTCTCCATTTTATTTTTATTTTTAGCTACTAAATATTTAGTAGCCAAAAGTTTTTCTCCATTTTATTTTTATTTTTAGCTACTAAATATTTAGTAGCCAAAAGTTTTTCTCCATTTTATTTTTATTTTTAGCTACTAAATATTTAGTAGCCAAAAGTTTTTCTCAATAATAAAATCCACTTCAAATATCTTTAGCTCTTTGACCCACTTTAGTGCGTATTCGGCTCTAACTCCCTACTTACGGGTCCGAATTACATTCCGTCAGTTCTCACAAGTCCTATTTGTCATGGGGAAACTGTCCGTGTGAGTCACACGGTGGTTTAGGGGCTGTTATGAATTTTCGCCCCCAAAACGCTTTTTTTCGACTAAGTTTAATGCATTTTCGACTCTAACTCCCAAACTACGTGTGCTAATTACATTCCGTCTGTTGTCACAGATCCTATTTGTGACGGGGAAGGTGGCCGTGACATCTATACGGTCGTTCGGGGGCTGATTCGCATTTTCGCCCCCTTAACGCCCTTTTTCGGTTAAGTTTAATGCATTGTTGTCCTATTGGAATTCAAGTGGAAATCATTTTCTGAACTCAAAATTTTTAACTAGCAAAAGGCTTTTCAATGGAAAAATTTTCACTGTGGGGAGTATGTAAACCAATCAAGTATAGCAACCATTTGAGTCAAAATCAAAGCCATAAATGCACACCCACAACCATACAAACAACACCAATAGTTGTTCCTCATTAAGAACGTGGATAACATATCTATCCCACAATCCACACCTTAAAGCCTTACCACTAATAGCAGTTCCCACCATCATTTTGTGAGGGCCCAATTCCAATCCACTATTATAGAAAGAAACAAGAAGGCAACATAATTAATATCATATCTTCATACAAAGAAATACAATGACAACATAATTAATGCTTCATCACTCTTGCAACTGCAACTCTATTTCACTTTTCTGGCATAGATTTTCCATAGATTTTCCATCTCACAGAATTTAAACTACTAAATGCAGTTTGAAAGTAACAGTACATGACAAAGTACAAGCATTCATCTCTTCCCATATCAGCATGAATTATTTCACCAAGACAGCTTCAAATTAATAGTTAGCTGGAAGCAAAATTGTAGATTCCATAAATTTGCCAAAGATTACTTCTACATGTGCTTCAACTAATAATTGCCTAGTGCCATGGCAAGAGTTCATGCTATCAAGCAACAAAAGTTTATCTTTCTTAATCAAAAATGATTCCCATGATGCCACATACCCGCAGATTTTATTTTTTATCTTTCTTAATCAAAAATTACCCAAACTTTTTATGCACATAAAAAATTTAACATGAATTCAATAATAATATTAAAAAAATCTTGAATTAAGAAAATCAGACATTCCAAAACAAATGATGGCAACACCTAAACACTTGGACACAACTAAGTAACTTCCCTCAAAATCAAATTCACCAAACAAAAAGGACAAGATTCTATTGTTGATAATGTTATTGCCAACCAAATCACCATGATAATTTGTGATAACACATGGTTCCACCATCCATTAAAATTTTCCCATGGTGCCACAAGTTTCTTCTTTTCTTTTCTTTTCTTTTTCTTAATTAGAAATGAGCCAGGTTTTCATTGCACACACAAATTTTAAATCAATTCAGTATGTTAAAAATGAATGAATTATGCACACAATTACCCATTCTGAAACAAATAAATTAACACCAACACCATTCATTACTTCTAACCGAATCAGTGAGAGCATCAGAAACTACTAACACGCGCGCACACACACACACTAATAATAAACAACAAAGGCCCATGGGTATCCAAGGCATGGGAGGTCCTTCCGGCAAACAAAGTTAATTTTTAAACAAGATTAAGAGTAAGATTCAATGAAGGTCAACGAATATTAGAAGTTTATAAACAAAAGTTTTAAAGATTTAGTTGGGAAAGGAGGTTTGCCATTATAAGATAAAACATAGTATGGATGAAAAAAATAAAAATAAAAGAAAGTAAGAGCGAATGTATAAAAAAAAGGTATCTCTAATAACAAGGAAATATGTTACTTCACCATATCCAATTACTTTTCATCTCTTTATCTCTTATCTTCTCCTTTCTACATTCTCATATTCGCTAATAAATTTAAGTTTTTTATTCTAAATATTTTCGTTTAACCAAAAAAAAGGTAAATAGAAATAGCTTTTAATAGATATTCGTAATAGGAGTCGAAACAACCCATTTTTAGTAGTGTTTCAATGAGTTTTGGTGTGTTCAATTCCTGGAATTTCAATTTTCCAATAATGTTTATAGAAATGCTTCAGCATTTTTGATTGAAATGAAATGGAATTTTGTTCCTTGTTTAAGAATAAAGTTAAAGATAAAAACATAGAAACCACTTCCAATAACTACGTTCTATATGGTTTAAAAGGTACCCATGCAAAGACCGCATTCTCTGAAGACCATCGGTGCCCCCATCTGAAGGAGTACTGTTGGTCCTATCACTTTCCATCATTGCTTAACAAACAGGCAAATTTGCATACCCCAATTCCTACTCGTCGACAATTCTCTCTAGAATCTCTTCCCCTAATCATTATCAATTTCCCTAAGAAGTGCCAGGAGGAGCCACCTTATCACAAAACTGGACCACAATCTGAAAAAAGAACAAGCATAAGGGAATCAGAGATTAGACTATAAAACATAGTGAACAATATCATAAAGAAAAGAGAGCCACTGAAGAAAACTCATAAGAACTACATGAACCTTTGTTAAAGACATAATCTGAAAATTTGATGTCAAGTAAAACTGTAAAATAGAAGAAGAAATCCATTAGAAACAGGATAATGCCAAGATCTTGAAACAAGTATGGGAGCAAAATAGACATATTGATTAACTCTATTGTCTTTGGTTACACAGAGTGAGTGATATGTAGCCATAAACAATTTTCCTTTCAAGTTGTGGTTTCCTTAACTGAACAAGGTTAACACTATCGATTTTTCTTAGTTTTTACAATTAAAATTTCAACATTCAACTATCAAGCAATCAATCATCTAAATTGCATACCTTTAGTATATTTAGACCGTTAACTAGCTCACCTACAAAGCAAACATAAAGTAAATATTCCAAACCATTTCATCTGTGAAGAAATGCAAGTAAGTGTACCTAGCTGTGATGCCAACTAAATCACAAAACTAAAATAAACATAAGATTCTATTGTTGCCAATGCCAACTAAATCAGCGTGCCAATTTTTGCATTACAGAGGCCCCCTATTCATTAAAATGATTCCCATGATGCTACATACCCGCAGATTTTATTTTTTATCTTTCTTAATCAAAAATTACCCAAACTTTTTATGCACATAAAAAATTTAACATGAATTCAATAATAATATTAAAAAAATCTTGAATTAAGAAAATCAGACATTCCAAAACAAATGATGGCAACACCTAAACACTTGTACACAACTAAGTAACTTCCCTCAAAATCAAATTCACCAAACAAAAAGGACAAGATTCTATTGTTGATAATGTTATTGCCAACCAAATCACCATGATAATTTGTGATAACACATGGTTCCACCATCCATTAAAATTTTCCCATGGTGCCACAAGTTTCTTCTTTTCTTTTCTTTTCTTTTTCTTAATCAGAAATGAGCCAGGTTTTCATTGCACACACAAATTTTAAATCAATTCAGTATGTTAAAAATGAATGAATTATGCACACAATAAAACAAATAAATTAACACCAACACCATTCATTACTTCTAACAGAATCAGTGAGAGCATCAGAAATTACCAACCACCAAAAAAATAAATAATAATAATTCAAACCAAGCTCATTGAGAAAAACAAAATCTAATTCAATTCTGACCCAGTTGCTTGAATTGAGTATGGTTTAATATATGAAAAAGAAAAAAAGACAAACAAAATATGGATATAAAAATTCAAAGAAAATGAAACCACCTATCAGATTCTACCCAGCTAAGGAAACATCATTTATTATTCAAATTCATACATCTCTGTGAAGGTAAATACTTACACACAGCTAAGCCCTCAAATTGAAATTCAGAAAACAAAAAGGAGGATGAGATTTCACAGTGACTCAAGCTTTTGTTATGCATAAAAAACTCAAAATCATTCAATCATGAGCACGAATAGCTATTAGGATCACAAAAATCACTACCTCCACCAAATCAAAGCAAGACCATTTTTTTTATAATAAAAAAAAATCAAATTGAAACCCATTTGCTTAAATTGAGTAGGATTTGAAATATAAAACTCAAAAAATAATAAAAAAGTCAAAACCCATATGTAGAATGCAGAGCAAATTTCAATCCTATTAAGCGAAGAGGACATCACCGAATTGAGTCCTAAAATTTTTCATTAACTTACCTACTAATAATATTCTTAAATTGTTCAGTATCTTAAATCAATTGCTATCTACCTAATAAAACCCTAGATCCGAGATGGTGAAATGGGGAAATAGAGGAAGAGAGAGAGAGAGAGAGAAACCTGAATGTGGCTGGGAGGGAGGCCGCGATGGTGAGCGACGGTGGCGAGAGCCGTGATGCTGAGCGGCGGTAGCGAGAGCCGCGATGTCGGTGGTGGAAGTTCGATGGTAACTGTTAGCATGGATGGTGAGGGTGAGGTTTGCTAGTGTTTGACACAGAAGTGTATATGATATCGTGTGTCTGTGTGTGTGTGTGAGAGACAGAACAGAGTCTAAATAGATCAGGCGCCAAAAATAATTGGTTTCCCTCTCAAACAAAAATTTCAACCTTTCGCGACTAAATATATTTTTGGTCGCCAAATAACAATAAAATTCTTTTTTGGCGACCAAAATTTTGGTCGCCAAAGGTAAAAAAATATTTTTTTAATTTTCAATTGGCGACTAAATGGTTTAGTAGCCAAAAGTCAACATATAGCGACCAAGATTCTTTTTTGTCGCTGAAAATAAACGTTTGGCGCCAAAGGTAAAAAATTAATTTTTTATTTTTCTTTTGGCGACAAAATGATTTTAGTAGCCAAAACTTAATGTATGGCGACTAAAAATTTTTTTAGTCGCCAATTCTAGCATTTTTAGCGACGAAATTTTTTTTTAGTCGCCAAAAATCAATATACCCCGACTAAAAAAATTTAGTAGCTAAATATTTTACTTTTGGCGACTAAAAAAATTAGTTGGTCGCCAATTTCATAACTTTTGGCGACGAAATTTTTTTTAATCGCTAATTTTGGTCGCCGAATGTGTATTTTGTTGTAGTGTAGTCACCAAATAACATGAGAGTATATCTACCTCCGCCAAACCACCACCCTTAGGTGGCTATGGTTTTTGTTACAAAGTTTATAGTTCAAGTCTTGATATTCTATTTCGCTTGATAATGAAGTTAGTAGGTAGTTGCATAGTGAGACCCAAAATCCTCTCACATAGATTGTTGAAAAGATCCAACAAAGAGAAGAGCTTTGCCCTATAGATTTGTAAAGATAAACATAGTTAGCGCCACCCAACTGGGGTTGCCGGCCAAGGACATTCCGATGACAAAGTTAGCAACTTGAATCAAAGAAAAAAGATGAAGAATTCAAGAGTGTATGTGTGTTGTGTTCCAGAGATCAGACCTCCTTACCTTCTATGTCATGCTTTGCTTTTATAGAGGTATGATATTTGCCTGGTCGATATTTGTTTGGTGGGCTTTCTTGTTGGTTTTGGCCCATTCTTAAGACTTTTTTGGGTTAGACCCAAGTGAGTTGATATTTTTTTGGCTCCTACAATTGCTCCAAAACTTTCATAGTCTTTGATAGAAGGAATGGGTGTTTTATTGCCGCTGCGCTATTCAAATAAATGTTAGGTTTCTTGATTAAAAAAAATACTTTTAATAAATGAATTAAATAAATGAATGAATGACTGTATGAATTCATGTATGCATGAATTTATGTATAAATGTATGTATGTATGTATGTCTAGGAAATTACCATTTTGCTCCGAATTTGGAGGATTTTGCTAATGGTGCTCCTTGTCAAGCACGAAGATTACTCTATATTCAAAGGCTTTTGTTAATAGCGCTCCGTACCGAGCACGGAGATTGCTCTGTATTTGGAGGCTTTTGTCGATTGTAAATGGCAATCAATTTCAGACATTGCAAGGATTTTGAATAGTATATCCTATATTATTAATTGTCTATACCAAATGAAGTAGACTTGTTAATCATAAAAAATGAAAAGCCAAAAAATTGATATCAATGGAAAAATTTGCACAGATGTATAGAGTTCCAGGGTTGAGAAAATCTCTCACTTGCCATGGCAAATGGAAAAAATGAATTAAAAAATTATCACCCACAAGCAACTATAGTTGACTATAAAGCATTGAAGAATATTCCAAGGCACGACTCGTGAAATTGTATTATCATGCTTCGAGGCGCAACATTGATCAATGTTGATGTAGCAAAGTTGCTAAGGGATCTTTGTTATGCAAATTGTGCATTATTGTATAGTGTGCCTGCCCCCATTGCTTTCGAATGAAATTTGTTATTTGGTAGGAATTTGAAATGGATTCTAGCCTAAATTGCTCCATTGCGCGCACTTCTCAGGGCGAGTTCGGCATTGGGGACAAAGGATTCTGGCTTGCATGGAGTTGGGAAGTCGCCAAATGGTTTTTAGTTGGTGAATTTGGCAAACTTGTGGTATGAAATTCGCAAAATTTGACCGTACGAATGTGTCCGAAATGTGCTAAATAGTTGGTAACGACTATTGGATCATCGTGATTGGACTTCAGATGATATAGTTTTAGCCAAAATATATCTGATGGTTTAGATCAACATGTTGTAATTCAACACGAAGCACATGATAATTTCTTCATTGACTGGCTTGGTCGTCTCCTACGTCGAAACAGTTCACTTTCTAGGCAAACTTTGATCGGTCAATATGGTTTCATTTTAGCTTCGATTTCGACGCAGTTTGTGGCGTTGGATTCGTCACATTGGTATAGTTAAAAATGTGATTTTGAAAACTTCAAAAAATTTAGTTTCTAAAAATTTGATCTGTTTTGCAGTTATCGGTGAACGTCAATTAGTTTTTGGCTCTTCTAGTTGATGGGTCTGGACTCCTCTAGTTCACACGAACCCTTTGGTTGGCCAAGCAATTCTTATTGTATTGCCGAAAAGTTGTTCTCATGAAGAAGAATGTATACCCAATTTCTAGAGAGAGAAAATGGACATGTAAACTCGGTCAGCAACTCTTTGGCTTGCCGAAACACTTGGTCTGCAAGTCGGCAACGTAATTGGCTCGCCGAAGGTTTCTTATAACTATTGCCGAAATACTTGGTTGGCAATCGAAACAATCAACTCAGAAAAATTGTGCATGAAGTGTTGGAACATGTCGGAAGATTTATTCAGCACTCATCGCTTGGTTTTCAGCTTGCTGAAACAATTGGTCTGCTTCTCCTTTTGTTTTGCCAAATCATATTGTTGACCCAATCATAATGTATCAAGACATCTCCATGCAAACCTTAATAAAGTCCACATCTTCATGCATGTAAACTACAAATTCATGAAACTATATTGGAGATGTAGATTTAGAAAACAGTGAACTCAAAAATATCCGTTCATGGTAATTAAAATTGTCTCCAGATTATATTATTTTATTTTATTTTTGTTATCATATTATTATTATTTATTTATTTATTAGTATTTATATATATATATTTAGAAGATGACAGATGTTGCAGAGCATGCTGCGGAGTCAAAATTAAGAGATTCGAGTCCTGTCTCAGTTTCCGGTGTATGGCCAAGTTGTGAATGAATGATCGGCAAAGAAGGATGATTGGGGCTTAGCTCCACGATCATGCTATTGAAATAACATGCCGATTAGACATGATCTGACCGTTGATCTATTATTTAACGACCTCATTTGCCAATTTATTAATCCTAATCTAAGACTTGAAATTTGCAGAATTGGACTCTAAAAATGGATTTTGCACAGCGAAAAACTCAAGAGTAGTTATTCCCGAAGTTATCAGACCACCGATTAACCCAAATGAGCTAAAAGATGCAACGGAGCACCTTGCACCGAGAAGCGCACGATAAATCCTCATGTTATCTTCTTCATGCAGCACACCGTGAAAAGAAAAAAAAAATTAGATTCAAACCCCTGACTTTAAGCCCTTGTGTCCCCTTAGTTTTAAGTCCGATTCACCTCATTTTTGTGGTGTTAGATTCCTCTCGTAGCCTACTGTTCATTCCATCATTTATACAACTCATTCCGCCACTGCTTGAATGTTGTTGGACCTCCTAAAGTTGACCAAGAACAATATTTTTTTACTTCTTTTTTTTTGTTTGTTTGTTCGACTCTTGTCCTCGACTAAAGTGTGGTCAGCAGATGAATGTGCTCGACAAAAGAGCCTGGCGAGGCTCACGATTGTTGAATACGTACTCTGCAGCTAATAATCGAGGTTGGTTTACTTTTCGACATGGAAATTGCTTGGGGATTGTTCAAACGTTAAGAAAATATTTCATAACTATGGTAACTTTGGCGGCCGAGATAGGCGGGTCGGCAACCTCTCGATTGTTAGGCTTGCCAAAGTGCTTGGTCAACAACTTGGCAACTTCTTTGGTTGGTCAAAATATTTTCGCTAAACTTAATTACTTGCTTTGTTGAAACTTCTTGGTCGGTGAGGCGTATTGGTAAGTATAAGGCGTCACATAACCTCAATTGTTGTTGATGGAATTGGAACTCAACGAGTGATTGTTTGCCGATCAAATCATGTCAGCGATGAAGGATCTGAGAAGCCAAGCAAAATGGGTACGAACCATGTTGATTGTTCATAGCCATAGATCTTCCGATGTATGCATTTACTGTGTAGAAGTCCGAAGCTCCGCCTAGACATTTTTTTTGGCGAAGGGTCTTGGCTATATTGCTCTGTTGTGCTCTGGTTTTGTGTTTTGGTTTCGTGCCATCTTTGCCATGATGGTCTTCTGTTTTCGGCTTGTTACTCTTGATCACTCTGGGCTAGAGTTACTCGGCATTTAGTTGGAATGCATTAAAAATCATTTGCCGATCACACTTTATGTTGCTGAGAACCCTTCTTAAAGAGTCTAGACCTAGTTGTTGATCTTTGAATTGTTCCTGTATGTTGTTCTCGAGCTGTTTTATGTGGACGATGGTGTCGCAATACGGATGACTACAGCATTGCCGAACAGAAATCGGGGCGAGTCGGTCATTCGGTTGTTTGTTGTTGAGCCATAACACATAACTCTTTTAATTCCAGTTAATTGTTAGCATATGCACATGTGCGTATATCTCAAGAATCAACTTTAAAATAAATTTTGTGAGGCAATAAATTAATAAATAAAGCCCCAAGGTGGGTTTGGCCGAGTAACCCATGTTGTATTGTCGAAAAGCAACTCTCACAAAGAAAAGTGTAAAACCCATTTTAGAGAGAAAAAATGAAGACACAAAAGTAGATTTATGAACTCTATTTTGTTTTTAAAAAAATTCATCAAGATTAACAATGAACAAAAGTTTTCCAGAGAGTTTGTAAGCACACACAATACTTCGTTGAACTCTTTCAGACGATTCTCACAGACGACGCCAATTGTAAGACCCAAACTCCTCTCACATAGATTGTTAAAAAATTTTAACGAAGAGATGAGTTTTGCTCCGTAAATCTGTAAAGATAAATATGACTAGCACCACCCAATTGGAGTTGTCGGCCGAGGACACTC